CCTCAGCCTTCCAAATAGCTGGAACTACAGGCATGCGCTACCACGCCCAGCTAATTTTTTGATTTATTGTAGAAATGAGGACTCGCCAAGTTCCCCAGTCTCGAACCCGCAGACTCAGGCGATCCACTCACTTCAGCCTCCCAAAGCGCGGGATTACAGGCTGAGCCACTGAGCCCGGCTCAAAGAGCTGTTTCTAATTAGCATCTTTTAAAGGTGAACAATGGGGTAACCCCCTTGGGTTCCCTCCCTCTCTGGGAGTTTTTTGTCCTCTTAATAAATCCTACTTTCTGGGAGGAAAAAAAGAAAGGTGAACAATGAATTTCTGTTTTGTTGTTGTCTAGTAATTCTCAATGTCACCCCTTCAAAGAACCACTGTATTGGTTGATGATCTCATGATGATTTGTATGTCATTATGTATCTGGAGCTTTCTGTCACCTGTTGGTTAATGCAAGGTATATTCTCATTTTCTAGGCTCACCTAGAAATCAATGATCCAAAAATCATTTCACAAGAACCAGAGAGTCCTTCAGATAGTGGACAGGGCAGCTGTGAAACAACTGGACCCTTGAGTGAAGGAGGTTTGTAATATTCAGTGTTTTTATTTTTAGGAAAAGGATATGGGAGCCTGGGTTGTAAGTAGATTGGATTAATTTAATTATTTTCTTGATGTATTAAGTATTTTTACTATTTTGAGTTGGAGTCTCACTCTCTCGTCCAGAGTAGAGTGCACTGGCACACTCACTGCCACTGCAGCCTCAACCTCCTGAGTTCAGGTGATCCTTCAATTTCAGCCTTCCAAGTAGATGGAACTACAGGCACGCGCCACCATACCCGGCTAATTTTTAAAATTTTATTTATTGTAGAGATGAGGTCTTGCCAAGTTGCCTGGGCTGGTCTCGAACTCACAGGCTCAGGCAATACTCTTGCTTCTGCCTCTCAAAATGCTGGACTTAAAAGCGTGAGCCACTGTAGCTAGCTGATGTATTAAGTTATTAATGCCCCAAATTTATTGTTTTATTTATTTATTTATTTATTTATTTTTGAGTTGGAGTCTTACTCTGTTGCCCAGACTGGAGTGCAGTGGCTGCTCCCGGCCAGCGCAGCCTCGACCTGCTGGGGCTCAGGCGATCCTTCCACCTCAGCCTTCCAAGTAGCTGGAACTACAAGTGTGCGCTACCACACCCAGCTAATTTTTTTTTTTTTATTTATCGTAGAGATGAGGTCTCGCCTGCCCAGGTGGGTCTCGAACCCATGGGCTCAGGCAATCCACTCACCTCAGCCTCCCAAAGGCGTAGAATTACAGGCTGAGCCACCGAGCCCGGCTATTGTTTGTTTTATTATAAAAACAAAATAATAGTGCTTGTACCTTTTTGAAACTTTATTTCTATTGTTGAATGTATAAAATGTCTAATATTTACCACATTGCCTGGTTAAATGCATTTATCTTATAATAAAAGGATTTTTAACAACTGCCAGAAGGAGTAGAACAACTTTACACATTATAAATATGTATAATTCCATTTCTCAGTAAGATAAATTTTGCAGAAAAAATGTTTTTCAAAATGTATTTTTAGATTTGCTTTACTATAATCAGTTGTTAATAGTAGTTACTTAACTACTCAAGGTGATATATAACTTGTATAATTGAATATATTTTTGAGAAGTAGTAGGACTAGGAGAAAGCTCAAATGATTGTATACTTTTTTAAAAATTGTGTTTCCTCCAGATTCAGACGAAGAAATATTTGTGAATAAGAAATTGAAAAGCAGGAGGGCACTACATCACAGTGAATCTGAAACAGAAGACACAAGTGCCTCTCCAGAGAAAAATACGTGTAACAGTGCTGAGGAGGAAAATAAAGAGAATGTATATGTTGGAAAGAATACAAAAATCAAAAGGATTTATAAAACTCTGACAGACAGTGATGAAAGTGACCTGGAGAAGTGTTTGTATCAGGAAAATCTTGAAACCCAAGTGACACCTTGCTCCGAGTTGAGTCTCCAATCTGGAAACTCTCAGGATTTTAACACTCACAGAAAGAGTTCCAAAAAACTCATAAATGAGAAAGAAGGAACTGGAGGAAAAGCAAAAGTAAAATCAAAGAGAAGACTTGAAAAAGAGGAGAAAAAAATGGAAAAAATTAGGCAGCTAAAAAAGAAGGAAACCAAAAATGAGGTACATTTTAAAGAATAATTTACTATTGCTCAGGTAGATTAACATTTTGGAAAAAGTTGCTTTTAGTACTTGAGGTTGTTTTTGCACTCAGAATATTGCTTTGCATTGACATAATGGGCTACGAAATTTAAAACTTATTGTTCTTGTTTTTGATATGCAGAGGATATTTCCAAATAACTAGGTTTCTGATTTTCTTTGTGAGTACATGGAGTAATTCTTTACTGCTTCTGATCTGAAGAAAATTAACTTTAAAGGAGGATTTTTTATTTTTTATTTTTTTTTTTATTTTTTTTCAGTTGGAGTCTCACTCTGTCGCCCAGACTGGAGTTCAGTGGCCGCTCCCAGCCACCGCACCTCGCCTGCTGGGCTCCTGCAATCCTTCCGCCTCAGTCTTCTGAGTAGCCGGAATTACAGGCGCGCGCTACCACACCCGGCTAATTTTTTGATTTTACTGTAGAGATGAGGTCTCACCTGCCCAGGCGGGTCTTGAACCCGCGGGCTCAGGCAATCCACTCACCTCAGCCTCCCAAAGGCGCGGTATTACAGGCTGAGCCACCAAGCCCGACTAGGAGGATTTTTTAAATGTATCCATCACTCAGAAGTCTTGTTTACAACTAGAAAAACTATTCTCAAATTTTATAAACTAATTCCTTAATAAGTATTTAATTGACTTTTCAAAAAATCATTTACTATTTGTTAAGTTAATTGTGGACAGTTGCATAAAATCACAGCTTGGACTTCAAAGAATAACTTTGAGTTAGGAACCAGAGAGAATGTTCTAGATGCCATATACTTGTCTGTTGATGAAAGATGGGCTTATTCTGGCCTGATCCAAATTGCCATAAGATGTTGGATTTTAAAATGATTGGTGCTTTTGATTTATGCATTATCCAGGAAGATGATGTGGAACAGCCATTTAATGATAGTGGCTGTCTTATGGATAAAGACCTTTTTGAAACTGGTTTGGAGGAAGAAAATAACTCTCCTTTGGAAGATGAAGAATCTTTAGACTCAATAAGAGCAGCTGTGAAAAACAAAGTAAAAAAGCACAAGGCAAGTGAAACATGATTGCAATTAGAGCTATCCAACTGCTTTTAACCTTTGCTTTATTTTTTTATTTACTGTTACAATCTTAATTTTTTTTAACGGAAGAAAAACGTGCCAATTGATTTAAGTTTTTTGGTTGTAATTTTGGAAACTTGCAGTACAAGTGATAGACATGATAACTTCTTTGGAAACTAGTACTTTGTTATTGCTTTTTTAGGAATGTTGAAAAAAAGTAAGATACTTTATGGTATGATAAGAAGTAGGTAAGTAATGGGGCAGACATATAAATATTATAATACTGTGGCCTTTAAGAAATGAACTATATAGGGTTTCAAGAAGGGTATCAAGGAGAGGCATTAATTAAAACATTGCTGCCCTGAGTGGAAGCATAATTGTTCTTCTTAAGAACAATTGTTCCCAGCACTTTGGGAGGCCGAGGTGAATGGATTGCCTGAGCCTACGGGTTTGAGACCAGCCTTGGCCACTTGTCGAGACCTCATCTCTACAATAAATAAAAATTTAGCCAGGTGTGGTGGTATGCGCCTGTAGGTCCAGCTATTTGGAAGGCTGAGACGGAAGGATTGCCAGAGCCCAGCAGGTCGAGGCCGCAGTAGCTGTGAGTGTGCTGCTGCACTCCAGTCTGGGCGACAGAGTGAGACTCTGACTTAAAAAAAAAAAAATTTTCTTTAGCTCCCTGAGAGTCATTTATCCCTCTTTAGGTAAAGATGTAAGCAGAGATATCTTTTATTTATTTATTTATTTATTTATTTATTTATTTGAGTTGGAGTCTCACTCTGTCGCCCAGACTGGAGTTCAGTGGCCGATCCCGGCCACCGCAGCCTCGACCTGCTGGCCTCCAGCAATCCTTCCGCCTCAGCCTTCCAAGTAGCTGGAATTACAGGCATGCGCTACCACACCCGGCTGATTTTTTGATTTATTGTAGAGATGAGGTCTTGCTGCCCAAGCGGGTCTTGAACCTGCGGGCTCAGGCAATCCACTCACCTCAGCCTCCCAAAGGCGCAGGATTACAGGCTGAGCCACCGAGCCTGTCTTCTTTTATTTATTTTTACATTTTTATGTTTGTTTGTTTTTGAGTTAGTGTCTAACTCTTTTGCCCAGTCTGGAGTGCTGTGTGCTCACAGCTACCACAGTCTTCGCCCACTGGGCTCAGGCGACCCTTCCACCCACCCAGCTAATTTTTTATTTATTGTAGAAGCAAGGTCTCGCCAAGTTGCCTGGGCTGGTCTTGAACCCCTGGGCTCAGGCAGTCCTCTCGTCTTTGCCTCCCAAAGTGCTGGGATTACAGGTGTGAGCCACTACCCCTAGCTCCTTTCTAATCATAATAGAATGCTGTCTGTTTAGAATTTCTATTTGATAATTACTGATTATGTAGCATAATGTGGTGTCAGAGTACAAAAGTAGTCTTCAGCTAAGAAATATTCTCCTATTTGAGCGTTGTTTTTGTCCTGATAATCAACTTGCAATCTCTTTTAGAAAAAGGAATTATTTTCAGAGAATGGGGTCTATTCATTTGAAGAAGAAAATGACTTATCAAAAGACACCATGAGGAAAGTGAGCTAGAGCCCTATATGTTAGTGATATTGATCTCTTTCCACAAGAGATCATGGGTTTTTTCAGGAATAAATTTTCTGTCTTGTTTGTCATTTTCTTAGTACCCAATATATTGCTTTGTATATAGTAGAAACACATGTAGATTGGATTGAACTAACTCTCTGAGACTTGCAAATCAGTTCCTTGAGTTTATACTGTATTGAATTTATTAATGCTTACTATTCTCTCTCCTCTTTTCTTGGAGAAAAAAAACTCTTGAGGAATGAATATCTATCCTATTAATGAATCTCACTTTTTGTTTTCTTTAAGGAAAGAAAGGCAGCCAAGTTAAGTAAGGAAGCGTTAAAAAAACTGCATAGTGAGACTCAGCGCCTTATTCGAGGTAATGCAAACCATTACAGTAACTTAGAGATAAATCATAGTATTTCTTAGTAAGTTCAACTTTGATGTTGGGGATTCTTTTTTTTTTTTTTAACTTTCTTAATGTGAACTCAGATATCAAGTTTAGGATTGATCTTGGTGAGCCAGACACAGTGGCTCATGTTTGTAATCCCAGCATTTTGGGAGGCTAGGGTGGGAGAATTGCTTGAGCCTGGGAGTTTGAGACCAGCCTGGGCTACGTAGCAAGACCTTGTCTCTACAAAAAAAAAAAAATCAAAAAATTAGCTGGGTGTGGTGGTAGGCACCTGTAGTCCCAGCTACTGGGGAGGCTGAGGTGGAAGGATCACCCCCAAGAGGTCAAGGCCCGTGATCACGCCACTGCACTCCAGCCTGGGCAATAGAGTGAGACTCCGACTCAAAAAAAACCCAAAAAACCCAAAAAACAGAATTTATCTTGGTGGATGACCATTGTTCTAAAATCTTAGGAATATTAGTATAATCTGAGGAAATGTTCACTGTAGTGGAGGTAAGGAGGAAGTTTTTTAATGATTTTCTGTGGACTGATTGCATCAGAATTCCTTTGGGAAGTTTTCAAATACTGTAGTCTCTCCTTATCCATAGTTTTAGTTGCCCATGGTCAATCATGGTCCACAAATGTTTAATAGAAAATTTCAGGAATAAGTGACTCATAAGTTTTAAATTGCATGGCATTCTAAATAGTGTGATGAAATCTCAAGCTGTCTCACCCAGGACACTTATCATCCCTTTGTTCAGTGTTTCACACTGTATATGCTACCTGCCTGTTAGTCAATTAGTAGCCTTTTCAGTTATCAGATTTAAAAATTGGCCTATGTCTGTAATTCCAACACTTTGGGAGGCTGAGTGAAAGGATTGCTCGAGCAATCCAGGATTTTGAGGCCAGCCTAGGCAACATAATGAGACTCCATCTCTACAAAAAATAAAAAAAGTAGCCAGGCATAGTGGCACACACTTATAGTCCCAGCTACTTGGGAGGCTGAGTTGGGAAGATCGCTTGAGCCCAGGAGTTGGAGGCTGCAGTGAACTGTGATTGTGCCACTGCACTCCAGACTGGGCAACAGAAACCCTGACTCAAGAAAACAAACATAGTGTGTATATAGTTCAGTACTATCCATAGTTTCAGGCATCCACTATAGGTTTTTTTTTTTTTTTTTTTTGAGTCAGAGTCTCACTCCGTTGCCCAGGCTGGAGTGCAGTGGTACGTTCATGGCCACCCCAGCGAAAACCTGCTAGGCTCCGGTGATCCTTCCACCTCAGCCTTCCCAGTAGCTAGAACTACAGGCGTGCACTACCATGCCCAGCTAATTTTTTATTTATTGTAGAGATGAGGTCTCGCCAAGTTGCCCAGGCTGGTCTCAAACCCACAGGCTCAGGCAATCCACTTGCCTCCCAAAGTGCTGGGATAGCAGGCTGAGCCACCAAGCCTGGCCTTACTGTAGTTTTTGAAACAAATGCCCATGGATAATATTTCCATCTCTACCCCCCAAAAGTAATTAATTAATTAATTAAAATAAATTAATTAAAAGATAAATAAATAAATTAGCCCGGTATGGTGGTGCATACTGGTAGTCCCAGCCTCAGATAGCTGAGGCAGGAAGATTACTTGCATTCAGGAGTCTGATGCTGCAGTGAGCTATGATCGTACCACTGTACTCCAGCTGGGTGACAGGGCAAGACTCTGTCTCTAAAAAAAAAATAATAATTAAAAATAAAATAAATAGGTGTAAAAGCTACTGTTTTTGGTGGGCTTTTTTGTACTTAGCTCTTGTTTTGGTTAAAGGCAGAATTATGTTTCTAGTGATGACATTTGTTATATGGTTTGATTAACTGAATATGAAATGACATTTCAGCATATACAGTATATATATATTTGCTTGTTTTGTTCCATTTTATAGAGTCTGCACTTAATCTTCCATATCATATGCCTGAGAATAAAACCATTCATGATTTCTTCAAACGTAAACCCCGGCCTACTTGTCAGGGAAATGCCATGGCACTACTGAAGTAAGAACCCTCTCATTATAATTTTTGTGAACATTCAGTAGCAAACATCTGGTGTAAAAAGCTCAGATTTCTCACTCCCTTAAAACTGATTTTTATATGCAAAGGAGTGAAAATGTTTTACATTTAGGATAATTTTCAACTCCAACTCTTTCTCTTCTCTAGGTCATCTAAGTATCAGTCAAGCTTTCACAAAGAAATCACGGACACCACAAATACAACTGAAATGAATAGTAACCACCGTACCAAAGGTTCTGAGCAGACAACAGGTACAGAAAATGAAGTGGAAATTAATGCATTATATGTGGCTTCAAAGGAACCTCAGGTCATTACTGGATCAGATGAGTCTTGCAGAAATGATTTGGTGAGAAATGAAGAGTTAGAAATTCCAGAGACACAAAAGCAGAGTGACACTAAACCTTCAGCTGAGGCCAGCTCAGTGTTGCAACAGGAATACAGCTTCCTCAGGGACAAGCACAGTGAGGAGTATCAGGCTGGAGAGCTTGTAGCATCTGAACCTCATGCCCTGGAGAATGAAGAAGGCCTGAAAAACACAGACAAAACTGATAAGAAAGTGGAAGATCCCAGGCAGCAAACAAAATCATCAGCAGCTGTACCACCTGAAAAAGTGAGAAGGTTTAGTTTGGATAGACTTAAGCAACTGGGAGTGGATGTTTCCATTAAACCTCGGCTGGGTGCTGATGAAGATTCCTTTGTGATACTTGATAAACCTGAAACCAACAGAGGTAATTCTTTAAATTGTGGGGAGCCTCCCTGGAGTGATTTATCCTGGCAACTTTTGATTATTTACCACTGTGGATGACAGGGAACAGGAGAGACCAATAACTACCAGATATGGGCTGAGTCCCACATAGATAAATTTGGCAAGGCAAAACCTTGTTTAAAATGGGAAGCCTATTAATAGTTAATATACAAAAGAGATACATTATTATTGGGTTATGATATTTAAGAATTTATTTCTGGGCCAGGTGTGGTGGCTCAAGCCTGTAATCCCAGCACTTTGTGGGGCCAAGGCGAGAGGATTGCCTTAGTCCAGGGGTTCAAGACCAGCCTGGGCAACTTGGTGAGACCTCATCTCCACGATAAAATAAAAAAATTAGCTGAATGTGTTGGCATACATCTGTAGTTCCGGCTACTTGGAAGGCTGAGGTAGAAGGATCACCTGAGCCCAGCAGGTCTACGCTGGGGTGGCCATGAGCATGCCACTGCACTCCAGCTTGGGCAACGGAGTGAGACTCCAACTCAAAAAAATATATATATTTCTGCATTTTCAGCCTGAAATTCTAAGTTTTTCTCTAACCCTGTGTCAAATCTTAAGACATTCAAGAAAATACTCAGTTTTTTTGCAGGTAAAGAGAAACATTTTGTTTCACTTAAATTGTCTGCAAACTGAATGTCTTTTTTTTTCCACTCATAACAAATATTAAAGTATCTACTACATGCAAGATGTTGTGGAACATACCAAGATAAATCTGACATTTACGCTACACTTAAAATGTTTACACTTTTCAGCATGTAATCCCAGCACTTTGGGAGGCCAAGGTGAGTGGATTGCCTGAGCCCGCGGGTTCGAGACCTGCCTGGGCAACTTGGCGAGACCTCATCTCCACTATAAATCAAAAATTAGCCGGGCGTGGTAGCACGCGCCTATAGTTCCAACTACTTGGAGGGCTGAGGCGGAAGGATCTCCAGAGCCCAGCAGGTCGAGGCTGTGGTGGCCAGGAGCGGCCGTTGCACTCCAGTCTGGGTGACAGAGTGAGACTCCAACAACAACAACAAAAAGTTTACACTTTAGTCTTGGTGTGGTGGCTCATGCCTATAATCTCAGCATTTGGGGAGGCCAGGGCGAGAGGATTGCTTGAGCCCAGGAGTTTGAGACCAGCCTAAGCAATGTAGTGAGACCTCGTCTCTACAAAAAATTGAAGTTAGCTGGGCATGGTGGCACACACCTATAGTCCCAGCTACTTGGGAAGCTGAGGCGGAAGAATTACCTGAGCCCAGGAGATCAAGCCTGTGGTGAGCTGTGATTGTGACACTATGTCAAACTTGGGTGACAGAGTGAGATCCTGACTCAAAACAAGATACTATTTACACTTTAGTAGGGGAGATAAATATGCAAATAATAGTAATATGAGGGAGAAAGTAGTGACATCTTTGTTAATGAACATGTCATTGATAATTGGAAAAAAATAACATGAAGAAAAAGGAAAAGTATTCTTTTTGAAAGAAACGTTTAAAATAAAGTGCATGGAAGTTGAGAGGAGGGCTAAGTTTCTTCCAGTGGATGAAGGCTTGAAGAATAGGTGGATATAATTACTTGTTCCTTGCCTTCCCTTTATACTGTGAGTTGGAATCTCCTGTCTTGTTCTCTCCTCTATCCTAGTCCTTCCTCAGTGAGTGACACATTGTAGGCATTTGTATTTATTGAGTGAATGAATGAGCCTTCAACATTAAACTCAAGTGTTACCACATTGAATAAACTTCCTGACTCTTAGGTAGAATTGGGTGCTCCTTCCTCAGCCTAGAGGTAGTATGGCATAATGGTTAAGAGCTTAGACTCTGTAGCAAGATCAGAATTCGAATCTAGACTGTTCTACTAATTGTTTAACCTTGGGTATGCTATTTGACATCTCCAAGCATCTTTCTTTAAAAACAGGAAAACTGGCCAGGCTTGGTGGCTCAGCCTGTAATCCCAGCACTTTGGGAGGCCTAGGCGAGTGGGTTGCCTGAGCAGGAACTGTCTTATTTGTATACATAGCACTCAACAAAGTGCTAAATAAAAGTGTATTGAATGAATGAATGAATGAATGAATGAATGTTGATTCTAACTTCATGTATATCATGGAACAGGCTGGTTTGGAAACTCAACTTTCATGTCAATTATTTCTAAAGGAAAACATGTTACAAGTTAAAAATAAGTGCCAATCATGTGGCAGGCACTGTGCTAGGCCTCTTTATATGTCAAATATAATACGGAAAAAATAACCCAACCTCTTTGAATCTCAATATCTTCATTTTGCAAAATAATACCTGGGCTATGAAAATTAAGAAAGGTAACCAATAAAGAATCTATTGGTGTCTAATATTGTAGATACTCAAAAAATACTTCCTCCCTTTTCTCTCAATCCAGGACTGTTTAGATAACTTCTAGTACCATATAACAAAACTTTCCTTCAGTGTTTCTGGGCAACAGCTCATTCTCATGATTCTTTGCTAATGGAGATATGCTAGCTTTGCTACACAACCCCCTTTGCCCCGGTCAAACGGACTTTCACATTCTCCCAATATGCACCATCCAGAGCTCTTTCTTTCCTCAAGTATGTCCTTTTATCCACCTCCACAAAGTCAGTCCCTTCAATCAGCAGACACATTAAGCATATTTTATACACCAGACACAGCAACTGACAAAGCATCTGCCAACAATAAGTTGTTTAATGAAAGTCTTGATGGGAACAATTTCAAAAATAATGATGGAAGCAGAAACTATTATTTCAGTGCTTCTTTATGCTATCCATTTGTGTATATTTCAACACTTTTTCACTATAGCCCATATAGTTCTTTCTTTTTTTTTCCCCCTCTAAGAGACAAGGGTCTCACTATGTTGACCAGGCTGGCCTTGAATTCCTGGGCTCAAGCAAAACTGCCTCAGCTCCCTGAGGAGCTGGGACTACAAGTATATGCCACCACACCCAGCTTTCCTGTTTATTTATTTATTGATTTATTTTTCAGCTGGAGTCTCACTCTGTCACCCAGGCTGGAGTGCCGTGGCAAACTCACAGCCACCACAGCCTCAACCTGCTGGGCTCAGGCAATCTTCCTCCTCAGCCTTCCAAGTAGCTGGAACTACAGGTACGCACTGCCATGCCCAGCTAATTTTTTTATTTTGTTGTAGAGACGAGGTCTCGCCAAGTTGCCCAGGCAGGCTGGTCTTAAACTCCCGGGCTCAGGTAATCCTCTTGCCTCCACCTCCTAAAATGCTGGGATTATAGGCATGAGCCACCATGCCTAGCCAGTCCCTGCTCTTAAGGACATTAAAGTGTACCAGGAGCTGGGTTTGATGGCTCAGCCTGTAATTCCGCGCTTTGGGAGGCTGAGGTGAGTGGATTACTTGAGCTCACGGGTTCGAGACCCGCCTGGGCAAGTTGGCAAGACCTCATCTCTACAATAAATCAAAAAATTAGCTGGGTGTGGTAGCACACGCCTGTAGTTCCAACTACTTGGAAGGCTGAGGCGGAAGGATCGCCAGAGCCCAGCAGGTCGAGGCTGCGGTGGTGGGGAGTGTGCCACTGCACTCCAGTCTGGGCAACAGTGAGACTCCAACTCAAAATAAATAAATAAATAAATAAAGTGTACTAGGAGTGATAGGCAGGCAAACAGATCATTACAATACTGGATGGTAAGTGCTGTGATCAAGGTATGCACTTGTAGAGGGTGCATTGGGAGCCTGGAAAAAGGGTATGTTGTACAGGGAGTCAAGGAAGCTTCTGAAAGAAGCTAAGTAGAAGATACCAAGACAGCGGTAAGGGAGTGCCTTGGGAACGGGGATAGATCTGCAAACAACAGAGACAATAGTAAGCATGGGGTGTTCTGGCTGGCTCAAGTGACAATTAAAAGGAGATTAGTGACCAGAGACCAGATCATTCAGAGCTTTTATGCCATACTAGGATCTTGGACTTTAGCCTTTTGTTAGTAAAGGCCCATCGAAAGGTTTTTACCAAGGGAAATGACCCAATAAGTACTTTCTGGCGACTGGAGTAGTGAATGCATTGGAAGGGGTTAAGAATAAAAGCATGGCCGGGCTCGGTGGCTCAGCCTGTAATCCCAGCGCTGTGAGAGGCTGAGGTGAGTGAATTGCCTGAGCCCGCGGGTTCGAGACCCGCCTGGGCAACTTAGCGAGACCTCATCTCTACAATAAATAAAAAAAAAATTAGCCGGGCGTGGTAGCGGGCGCCTGTAGTTCCAGCTACTTGGAAGGCTGAGGTGGAAGAATCGCCGGAGCCCAGCAGGTTGAAGCTGCAGTGGCCGGGAGCGGCCACTGCACTCCAGTCTGGGTGACAGAGTGAGACTCCAACTCAAAAAAAAAAAAAAAAAGAATAAAAGCAGTGGAGACAGTTCAGTTTCCTTACATCGTATAGAATAAGGTTTCTATGAGAAAATACATGTGGATTTAAACTTTGTAGTGTGAGAAATGTATTACTTCTGTTGCCTGCAATAACATGGGGAATAATCTCTGTCCTCAGTTCCTCTACTTTCTGGTCTAAGGGCTATGGGAATAAGAACAATTCTAGACCCAAGCTACTGGTAGAGACTTGAGGCAGAGCTGGGGCAGAGACTTTTCAGACAGAGAGGACATGACGGTGCTGGGAAGACAGATGGAGGTAGAGGAACTTGAGCAGGGATTTTAGGATGAAGAGGGTGATAGTTGCATCATAGAATAAAGGGACAAGAAAGTAGATGCACCAATGGTTGGGAGATAAAGAACTTTGAGTATCCTAGTTTTCTCCAGTTATAAATAAAGACACTTCCTACCTCACTGTTATTTTAGATCCTGAGTTATCATCCTACCCAACCATTTCTTTTATTCTATTGACTCCAATAATGACTTGCCCTTCTGTTCCCTTTCCATTGCCAACACCTGTTGCTTTCAACTTTACTGAACTAGTACAAAAGACAATAGCTTCTTGAGAGACTAAGGTGAGAGGATGGCTTGAACCCAGAAGTTTGAGGTTATAGTGAACCAATATCACACCACTGCACCCCAGCCTGGGTGACAGAGAAAGACCTTGTCTCCAAAACAATAAAATAAAATAAAAGAGGCAGATTTATAGCTTCTCTCCCTACTCTTTTGTTTGTAATGTAAACACCATCCTTTGGAGTTGGATTTTTTCTGCTAATGTTAGGGACTCAGATAAAAAGAGTTCCTTCCATTCTTCTAGTAAGACCCTCTAAGGAAATAAAAAACACATCTAGGTGCTTGTCATAAAACTACTGAAGCCGGCTCGGTGGCTCAGCCTGTAATCCCGCGCCTTTGGGAGGCTGAGGTGAGTGAATTGCCCGAGCCCGCAGGTTCGAGACCCGCCTGGGCAGCGAGACCTCATCTCTACAATACATCAAAAAATCAGCCGGGCGTGG